TTCATCTTTGATTTGGAAGATCATTGCAGGAGCAACTGCATGTTTTTGTTGTTTACTTATTTATTTTATTTATGGTTGTGCTTCTGTCTATGCATTGTATTTATCTATCTGCTGATGAAACGACCATGGTTTGATGATCCGATAAAGTATTCATTTTGTTGTGTATAATAATTCTAATAAAACTGTTTATACCAAAACGAACAGCCAATGAGAATCGGACACGTCGACAAAATTGGAGCTATGGTAGCCTTCGGCACCTCGCTTCAGCACCCATCTTATCGATCCCATGATTAGGGCAACCTCCTCCTCTGGGACACGTGACAGTCCCACAATTGGTGTCCACAGTTCCACATCGAAATTCTAAACAAAATGCACACCTCCCCAAGTCTATAAAAGAGGACAACTGTCCCAAAATGGAGGTAATCAGAACTTACGGCATACTGCCTATTGATATGTAGTTCAACTTTACTTAATCCATACTTACTTAAGCATCGGATAGCCTTCGGCCGATACCACACCGTTGCCCTAGGTCTTACCGAGCGTTTGTTATCTTGCAGATCTGCCGAAGGCCCAACATCACTAAGTTACGTGGGAAAGTGCCGAATCATTTTTCTGCGTCAACAGTTTGGCGCTGTCTGTGGGAAACGATAGAAAATCGACCCATATTTCTCTAGAATACATGGGGACCACTTCAATACCAATGTTCTTATCGGAAGATGGGTTGCCATTCGGCAGGCAAAGCGGAGCAAGCCTAGAGCTGCCCCCATGCACACCCTTCGGTAATCCACCAGTAATTCAAACTACGGCCGATGCCGAGCTTCTTGCCCAAATCACTTCCTTTCGGAAGGATGTGGCAAAGTTACAAGAGCACAACAACCTCCTTTCGTCCAAAGTGGACGAAACCCAGCAACTGCTATATCAGCAGCATACGCAGAATATCCAAACTACCGAATCTTCCCAGGGTCTGCAGACTCCCAGTCGGCAGAAGAAAGGCAAGAAGGGGGCAAAGGCCACGCCTACACCCTCTAAGCAGCTAGTAGTTCTGGCACCCAGGGACCAACCACACATACGGAAGAAGGTCTACATCGAATGTCGTCATCGGATCAACGACAAGGAATCCAAAAGGCAGAGATCTCTGATCAGGGTCAATGCCCGCCTACGGGACTCACGGATGAAGGTATTGGGAAACAAATCACCTATTCGGAAGGTTCGGTGGTTGGGGTTGGAAGTAGAATCCGACGATGAGTATGCCCTTTCCAATGCCACGAAATCAACCTACCATTCGGCAACTCCCACGGATTTTTCGAGACGAGACCTTCAATTCCATAGAGATCTTCCAGGAGCTACGGCTCTGAAGGGATTCTGAGCCGAGATCCCGCTATCCGTCTACTCTTCCAGATGATTCAGAAGATGGAAGAAGACAGGACCCGCTTCCAAGAACCAGACTGGGGCAAGCTTCGGCTGGGGCCGTTCACCGAATGCATAAAGCGCTCACGGCAGGATAGGGATATACAGCCATTTCGCATACCATTCTACACCGGGGTAGAAGACCCCTTGACTCACCTCCACTCCTTCTAATCGGCAGTCGGATGCAAGGGTCTCAGCGACGAGAGGCAATGCCTGCTGTTCCCATCCTCCCTTACCGAAGCCGCATTGAATTAGTTTTACAATCTGGAGCCTGGAACGGTAGATTCCTTTAATGAACTAAAGCATATTTTCCTTAATCACTTTATGATCCAGACAGACCGTCTGTACTCTGCCAATGATCTATACACGATTCGGCAAAGGGAGGACGAACCCCTACGGGAGTACGCAGCGCGCTTCAGTCATTAATACTCAAGGTGTCCGAAAATGGATGATAGGGCAGCCTACGGTGCCTTCAAGAGTGGCCTTCAGTCCTCTCACTTTTGGTACCTTGTACACAGTAGCAACTGTCGCACATATGACGAATTGATGAAGCAAACGGCAATTCACGCCAAGGCAGAATATTTCAACTCAAATTCTGGGCCATCGGCTCAGCAAGAGGAGCCAGCCTTGAATAGCTATCCTAGGCAAAGATCACCGTATGCCCCCATAAGAATTGACGAACCCTCGGTAGGGCGCAAGCCGAAGGATGATGCGACAATTGGTAGGGTGGCTCTAAGAATGGACGAGGAAAATAAGGTCGCAATGACCACCGTGCGCCCTTGCCGAATCACGACCGCGCACCGGAAGTCTTCACTCTGTTGAATACAACTTACGAGGCAGTCTTGATGAATGAGCACGAGATACTACCCAAGCCAAATCACCGAAAGCCCAATCGGCAGGACAATCTGGATACAGGCAAAATCAGCCGATACCA